ATGTGCTTAAAATATAATTTTATACTTTAATATTTAAACATATGCATGTAAATGAATTTACTGACCACAAGCAGAAAAACACTGCAACAAGATACTAATCCGAAAATATCTTTATGAGCTTAGTGTACGGTCAACGTAATAAAAATATGTAATTTTATTCTTAATAATATTCTTTTATTCGTTTCATTTAAGTAATATATTAAGATATTTTATAAAAAAAAAATTAAAAACGTTTAAAAGTTAAAACATACACGTATGTATGAGATTACTTTTTAGTATTAAACTTACGTAGGTACCTACCATTTATATGAAACAAAGCCAAATATAGAATTCTATACAGTTAATTTCGAAGTAAATATATATTTTTTTCAGACAGTACTTAATATGTGGTGAAGCCTTCTATAATGTCGTAGCCTTTTTCAAGAACATATATGTTTACTCCATTCAACTATTTTTAATGTTAATAGAAATCCAAATATCTTTTACATGAGAAAAAAATATGTTATACTCAATAACCCATGAAACGATATTAATAGGAAAGGATTCACACTTATGACGGTAACACGAGTATTTGCGCAAATAATGAAAATACACTCTCATCCTTTATCTCACTGAATAAATAGAGGGTGACTGAACGAGGTTGTTCTAATATTCAAGTAACAACGTGTTTACTTCATAATTGAATATTAGATATAGCTCTGTGAATCTTTATTATTAAAACAGTAAATACTAGAAACAATAATCCTACGAATACCATTTAATATTTAATAAAGCCACCAAATATTTTATTTGAATTGATATCTTAAAATGCACGTATACATGTATTCGGCAGGAAGCCATAACATACACTATCGGTATTGTCACCCACTAGACAAAATCTAACCGTATCCGAATGGATATGGATCCGAATCCGTATGGATCTTTCTTTCAGTTCTACTAAATCCTCTGGCTTAACCTAAAGGAACTTTAGCCTATACGTCAAAGGAGAAGATAATTCTGTTATCTTCTTTTTTCTCCTAAAAATCACATGCTCTCAACAACAAACACTTTAATTAACTACTTTTTTTCTATAACGCTGTCCGTTTTTATCAGTACATACATATAACTCTTCGGAATCATGACATAATAAAGGCTACTTGTCGGATGGTAATCAGCCATCAAAGACCTATTCTAACTGTCTCGCTTTGAAAAGCTTGTACCCCTGATTTAGAGCCAAAATCTTGAAAGCCTTGACGACCTTGGTGATTATTATCCGATTACAATAAATTCCATACCCTATGATCAAATCGGTCGACTAGAAGTTTTCTGGTGCACACTATAGTTTTGTTAAAGAATTGAACTACTGAACGACGTTAAAGCTCTCTCAGATTCTCCTGATATCTTAAAGCATTTGACACCTTACACTCACAATTTAGGTGTCTTCAAAGCAAGTATGAATAAGTTATTAGAGGAGTAATGTGTTCACCTCCTTTAGCTTGTTTTTCTCCTACCATTAAGTGAAAAGGAAATCAATCACTACCAAGTTTATATGAAATACATATACAGGGTGACTGGTGAATTACTATCAATATTTAAGGAGCATACTCAGTACATGATTCTCATTCGAATTATGTAAAAAAAATAGGTACTTAATTTTTGACCAAATTTCCGTATAAATAAATATAGTGTGTACACGTTCCAAGTGTTCCAAGTGTGGACGCGTGCGGCGGCGTGCTGATACAACAACACGCCGCCACGCGCGAGTGTGTAAGTGTGTGTGTATACCTAATCTGTAGGGTGTTCATACAATGCGTAATTAATTACATAACTTTTGGTTAACTTTACTTAGAAGTTTATTAATATTTATGTTATATTAATTATTATTTTGTCATATATGATCGTCAAATATCACGTCCTCTAATATCGATAGTAATTCACCAGTCACCCTGTATAGAGCAACAAAATTATTTCCATACAAGTTTTATGAAGCAGCTGACTACTTTCTTTTATTTGTGAACAATCTTATTTAAAGACCAACGATTATAAAAAATATGGGATGTGGCCTATTAAATAAAATAGAGAATACTTTTCTGTGGTATTATGGTCTCTTTAAAAGGCATATTGCTTATACTTGCTATAACATCCGCGTGTGTGGTTTCAGTGTAAGGAAGCAGCTATTTATTTATATTTACTAAAATATACTTATCTAATATTGAAGATAAATCAAATGTAGAAATGGACCAATCAAAAGAAATCTGTTTGAACCAGATTTGCTTTATTGAGATTACAATCTAAATTACATTCGGGCGAAAAATAAAGCCGTTACAACGGTAATCTGTTATTATTTATGACTTTAGGGCTACCTCTACTTCGATATTCATTAAATCGTTATTTAGAACGACGTTCCCCAAAAACTAATTTATGTACCTGTTTTTAAATGATCATAACACCGAAATGAAGAATCAATAACATTATAAAACGTATCTATATATAGCAATAGGATGAACATTCAGACAGTGACGCAATATGGAATGCTGGTACAACAAACATCAAAGAAACTAAGACACTCAATCAAATTGACAGACAGACAGGAATTTCACGTAAGATCTATTGACTTTTGTTAAATATTTACATCGAAAAACTTACACCCCATCTCCATTTGATAAGGTGTAAATTATGTTAACTATAACACTTCCCCTGCACGATCCCCAAATATATCTATTGTTAAATGACAAATTGTACATATGTATGTGGTGACAGGGAATTGTCGGTGGTAATGCTACTTCCTCGTTTATAATGAAAGTCTATGAGGCGTTACTTTAAATCATTTCTATGTCAACTTGTCTTTAGTCACACGCAATAAAACTACGTCATTTTTAAATGTCGCTTAAATATATCAGTAATAAAATTTACATGTTTATTACTACTTAATAGATATATTCTGGTCTAGACTGTTAAAAAACTTTACAAGACTTTTATATATGTACATAACAAATAGAAATAAGATGTCATTATTAATAAATTCAGCGATAATATTCTCGTTTTGGAAACGCTATTTGTATCTTACTGTCTTAATAATAGGAGCTAATATTAAATAATACAAATTCCAAGTATTACAAAACGGATAATTTTTAAGTTACACTATCTTTCTATCAGCTCGCCGAAAATTTTGATTTCTAAACCTTTATAAAAAATATATAGTATTTCTTATCTTTCCGTTTATACTCCTCGCGCTCGTATTTAAGATAACCTTTGACATGGTAACATAAATAAACAGTTGTAATAAAAACATTATGGAAGCGATCGAAGCTATGAAGATTTACGATTGTAATTAATTAGCCACCAAAATTATATTAAAATTCTTACAAACATTTATTTATGTTTGTTAAAATATATTTATTGCAAATCTGTTTTCCAAGCATATTTTCTCAGATTCTCTGATCTAAAACAGATTCGCGAAATATAAACAATAAGTTTAAAATGTTATTTCTATGGAAAATAAACTAATTTAATTGCTTTGCTGATTAAAATAGGTGAAAGCAGATATTTAAATCTTTCTTTTCAGTCTTTAAAACCTAAAAATAATATTTTTAAGCCACAAAATTCATATAACTTTTAGGTTTTAACTAATATAGTGCTAACTATTATAATACTTCGTCTTAAAGTAACTGTCCTTGTGTTCAGTTGCAATATGTCTCAAGAGATACGAACCCGGAAACACACACAATGACCAGACAATGAAAGCATTGGAGAAGTATTGAGTTTCTATTATTGTATGAATATAAGTACCAATATTATAATAATACTTTGTTTATATAGCACAAGAATGCTTTCAAATAATTACGTTATATATTAGAATTATAATTTAAGAAGTCAGATATTTACGCGCTCAAAAAGACTACGTTTATTCAATACAAATCACATAGACTCACAAATTGAAACACGAGCGCCCAATATTTCAAATCAATTAGACATAATCGAATGCATTCTATTAGTACCGTTTCGTTCGTAACGAAGTTTGTGATGGTATTTATAAATGTAAAAGGGCCGACGGTTACCGTTAACGAAATGCTTGAATACTTATTATAATTCGATTGAACGTCGTATCACGCAACTGTTTGAGACATTTTTGTATCAATTATGTTGTATAAACGCTTTAGGTTCCGTATCATTTAACAATTATATATAAATATTGGGGATACCGTGAAAATAATGCTGTATTTTATGTTGGTAAAACTAATGGAACCCTTATAATCAAATACAGAGAACGAAAATAGAATAAAAATCCTTTTAAATTGGAATGTCGAATTTATTTGAAAAGTAATAACAAGACAAGATCATTTAAAGTAGTCTTGATTACACGCCTTTTAATCGAAAAATTTATTAATGTTATAATTGGATTTTTTTATCATTAAGGTATAGTAATTTCCGAATACGAAACTATTAAAAGGAAATTAAAAAGCACACAGACGAGGGTATGAAAGCAAGAAATAAAGCTAAATCGTATAAAGCTATATGAATGAAACAAAGCAATATAAAAATATAGGTTAATTAACATATAAACGATAACTCTAAAGTGATGCAACATAACGCACCTCCGCTCAAATAGTGTCACAACTCAAAAAAAGTTGAATTCAATTTTATTGCACTATTGGAATCAGAAAACTTCGAAATCTTATCTCAAATAATTTCATGCCCATAGTTCAACTATTTATCCATATATGTCAATATTTCGTAAATTATTCGTTTTTTTCATCCGTTATTCGTTATTTTTTTTTAAATATATTCCAAAAGTCTATTACACCATTTTGTTGAGTGTCAAAAATCATTATAACTTACTTAAAATCATATTGCAGTAACTTTCACAGTTTTTGAGTGATGAGCCGAAAAGTAAAGTTAGCATTAAACTTCAAACGCGTTTTATTCGAAAGTTGGGATTTTTGACTTATGACACTATTTGAGCGGAGGTGCGATAAGTTTATATGACATACTACTTTGTTTTAATAAATAAATAATCTTACCGGTAACTTAACGGTGCTCGTAAATTAACAGATGACACCCTCGCTGCCGGCACCCGCCGCTTGTCACCTTCATGCCAACTAGCATAACTCCTCACGAAATTCACAATACCGCAAACTTCACTCGTATTTATAAACTCCACTGACATATCTATGTTCTCAAAAGTATCATTGATCCAACTATTATTAACTCCGAACACCGTTTCAAAGGAACTATTCGAACTAGTGACATTTTCAATGGAATGATTTGTCAACTGATAAACGCCGTTGTGTTCGGGACTTGAGTACACGTAAACTTGGTCAAGTTCTGAATCGTTCTCTGTTCTAATTAGTTTGGCTGGTCTTGAAGTGTCATTTGATGATCTGTATTCCTCTATAGATGTATACCACGCCTCCAGAATTGCTATATGAGTGTCCAAGTCCCGACACGTCAAACGGAACTCATAATCGTGACATCGCTGCTCCTCTACGATTTCTAAAACAAAGTATACAAATAAATCGATATAAAGAAATGAAAGAGCTCTTCAGACAGTCAAAATAAAAATATATTTATATTGTTACGTAAACTTTGCGTATATTTTAAGTACCTACGTCGTAAAACTACGCTAGGAAGATTATCACCTGCAGTGTGGCCAGTAAAGCCCATTCATGGTTCAATAAATACACCATGTGAATTAATGAACGTCTGCGGGTTATACATTTGAATAAATTTATAATACTTAAAGAGTATTAACAAATAATAATTATGTAAACACATTTTTTATAAGAAATATATCGAGGTAATAAACACATTTATCAAAGTAAGCTGGATTGATAGCAATAACGTGTATTTGAGGGGATTACAGATGCACGAGACAAATTTACAATTTATCCTAAATAAGCCCCTATTTGTAAAACAAAGCTTAAACGACATTGAGCTTGATGGGAAGACATTCACTTCTATTAAAATGAAGGAAGAGTATTCTGTTTTATGGGCGACGCTAATATTAGATGTATTCATAGTTTTTATGGTAATTGACATTCACGCATAAAAATATATTTGACCCCTTTCCATTTGAATGGCAATAAAACTCAAAGTCCAGATGCCTTTCTCAGTTGTTTTATAAATTGAGCTCTCGATAGACAGGAACTTTCATACGTATAAAAATATATTTTACTGCTATCTATTTAGGAACGGCGTTTAAATTCTAGTCTTGTTAAGTTTTATATAATATATTTTATAAAAATCTCGAAAACTATAACTAATATGTTCGTCGTAAACAATAGTTTTTGTTACAATGTTATTACGGCTGCCTTCTTTATAATATAAATTATTATAAATATTACTCTTTTCTACCAATAAGGTATACGTAAAACATATGAGTTAATAAAAGAATTTTCATACAAAACTGATATTTCTTACAAAGACCATTACATGTATCAAGGCTGCATAATTTAAGTCACCCAAGAAAAGGTACAGAGCTTCATTCCCTTTAGTTAAATATTTGACTTAACATTTCAATGAAACTCGAAAGTAGGAGGGTAGACATTTTACTTTAAATGCCCTTAATATCAGGACCCTTCAGAATTAATTCAACAAAAAATCAATAGTCATTATACTTCTTTCAATCATATATAGCATGAATTCATGAATTTTATCTTAAGTGCTCCTAAAAATGTGAATAATAATAAGAGTGCTATCTGATATTATGTGCCTTTTTCAGTCTAGCTTACAGAATCCATTGTTTCATTTAGTTTTAATTCTCCCCAGTTTTAATTAATAACCCAAGGAGGGAAGCATTAACAAAGCTTACACCCGACAAATCCCATGGATTTGAAATATAATTAAGTAAGGTTAACTAAAACGATACATTAAACCGAAACATACTTTATCATCGGCTTTAAATTATCACTAAGTAACCACAGTAAACATTCATTTATTTATTTCAAGGACTGTAACTTAATTATTGTAATATATATTTAATGATGATAATCGTAGCCTAGTAAAATCACAAGCTTATTTAAGAAAGCCGAGAGGACAAGATTTCAAACACGCATTCAGTTAAATGTAAAACTATATCGGCAATCACAATCATCGCTAACCTACTCGTATCCACCAACGTAGAGTTATAACGGCCAAATAAGAAGGTCGTCCATGTAGACTAATGCAATTTAACCATACACTGCCAAATGCGCACTGCAACAACCCTGATATAACATCCCTTTTATTCCCACACGAAATCCTACATTCTTCTCGTTCTTACCCCATTCCACCCCTTAACATCCAATTTAGAACAAGCGTTACCATAGCTACCATCCAAAACAGTGGCATTGCCAACCAGTAGCTATTGAACTGCCAAGTTCGCACAATTTGGCAACTATTGCCGAAATTGTTACAGTTTGGACACGTTCGAGGTTCTATTAACAGTGGTCCATTTTCGAGGACCAGAATCAACCGACTAGCCTTGATTAATCGAAATGAAACGTTAAATAGAGGGATTAAGATACAATTTTCTATTAATTAGGTGCGCTGGGGACAAGTTACCCTGTTGGATCAATTAGTTCAAATTCCTCGGAGTCCTTATAAAATAACGAATATTTGGAGGGTAAATAAATATTGTAAAAAATCCTTTCCAGTAGAAGGTAAAAAATATATAACGAAAAGATTATCCATCTGAACGAGATATATTTTTACTATACATCCGACATACCTTTGATATTATGCCTTTGACACTCGAAAGTGCGAAAATACACGTGTATGTAGCCATCCCAGACATCATCAGACAAATTGGTTGTTTTCCCCCTTTGAAAAGTGAAAAAAAATCCGAAGGTTTGAAGACATTTGTCGGCGCACTTCATGCACAATAGTGAATACAGCCTGTGCATTCAAGTTTAAGGGCGACGTGGAAATCAATTCTGTGCACAACAAAACATAAGCTGTATTGAGAAGGGTGGCACCCCTGATGAGGGTAAGATGCAAAGCACAGGTATCTGTGTCCATTAGCATTTAATATCCGTCATATCACATTAATTTTTCATTATTTAAAGTTACCAATTGTAATATAACTTTTCTTTCACTTGTACATTTCATTGCAAATTATATAATTTGAAAAGGTTTTTTTGTTAATTTTAAATATAAATTGTGTGAGACCAATTCTTAGTTGTTTCTTTTTAATATTGATCAGTTATCCAAGATTAAGTTTATAAGATGTGTTCACATTTGGGGGAAACAAAACAGTGCTAGATTACACATATAAAAGACGTTATCGTGTCGTATAAAACCATGGCGGCGTGAGACAGGATGTGACCCACTTCTTACATTTCCCTGATAAGCACGAACTTGCCTGTAGCTTCAATATTTCTGAATCCTTTTAATGCGTTGTTAAACTTTTTGATAACGCTATAATTGTATGTCAATTTGTCACACAGTTATCAATGAAACAAAACTAATACTTATGGCCTCAGTTTTAAAAAGGGAGCAGTGAAATGACTTCACAAACCAACATATGTGTAACTAAAAATTTATATATATGTACCTAATCAACCGTATATTCCTGAACCGCGGTTTAAGTCGCAATCTATCAGATAACTAGACAATTTACATTTATTATTAAAACATTCAGGTTATTGTAAAAAAACAAAAATTTCGGGTAAAATACATTACAATAAATAACGTAATAAATACGAAAAACATTACAGATATTCTTATAATATCAATACTTCATTATTAGCTTGTTTTCATTAAAGAAAGGTATTTAGACTTTCACATAAAACCTTTAGAAATCTGTTATTATATGTTTTTGTGTTTTAATAGATAAATATGGAGAGGAGTAGATTTATTCCAGACTAATTAATGACCATGATATTAAACAAAATCCACATCGCCTACAAACGATGTATTAACAGGTATTGTTGGCAATAAATCATTCTATACAAAAAAACGTTTAAGTGTCGGTGAGTTTTTAAGCTTGTAATTGATGACTTTTATAATTTGACGTGTAAAGCCATGAAGTAAAAAATTTTAAAATCACTCTAATATGGCTCAAAGAAAAAAGACGGTATAAATGAAGGGGTAATTTATGTAAACTTGTTCCCTGTGATCACTATATGTACCTTAGATTGAGATGTCAAAGATTAATGATATTTTTCTTCACTCCTCGTTCCGAGAAATTTATTTCCTATCTTGTTAGCATGTTAACAGGCAATTAAACGCTACTGATTCTTACGTGACGATGGAAGCTCCTTCAAATTATTATAATGTTAAGGAATGGAAGATATTATTATAGTAATTGGGGTGAAATAATTTTAAAGCTGAATTCTATTTCTGGGATTGAATTTTTTTAAATAATAAGGTCCTATAATGTATTCGGTACTAATACTTTTAAAGTCAAAAGCAAAGTCTTTATTAAAAAAATTTTTTTAATATATATTTAATATACTACATTTTCAGTACACAACTACTTGAATACTAGTGCAAAAAGTAGGACAATTGAAACTCTTTTCAATGGCTGTTATAAATATAATAAACTTTAAGATATTTTAATCCCATTAAGACACTCTTATTACTTACATGATAATAACACTTATATAAAAAAACATTTATAATAATTAAATACAAATTCATAACTCAGCCACGACAATATCTGTACGTATTTCTTAAATAAAACAGCGTTCCAAAGCGTCGTGTACTCCAAACTTCGAAACTAACAGTTTGTTACAACTGGAACAGTTTTCAGTTTAAATTTTAAACTTGGCAATAATCCAATAACGATTTGACATTTGTATCATTTTTGTGCCACTAACCCAAAACACAGATTTCTCAATTAAGAGGAAGACAAATTACAGTACTTAAAACGACGGAATGAAGCAGAACTATATTCGGATATTTATTCGACGTTAAATAAACTATAATGAGGTGTTTATGGAACTGTATACGTATATAAAAATCACAATAGTAATATAATTATATCAAACGAGGCTTATTAGAAAAATCACAAATAAATTCTGTCAACATCTGTGGCATTCAAATCCACACAAAGGAATCTCCCTTGCATCATTCGTTTCTAATGCTACAGTAATAGATCGTATTCTATATTCATTAAGAGTCATTATCGTCTAAAAAAATTGTAACAATAACATTTAATCCCTAGTAAAGCCGTATGCAATTTTTATATAATCATTGCAAATTATAATGTAGAAATTTTTAAGGGAGCGATTTGTCAATCGATGCTGTAATAAAACTTCCAGAGCAACTGTAATTTATGCTCGAACTAATGGCCATTCGCGGTTAGTTTTTGCTTCAACTTTAACGGCTTATTGGATATTAACATCGAAGTTTCAATATGTTCAATACATAGCCTTAACTACTTTTATATATAAAAGAAATTATTATGTTTTATAACTGACATTATCGATATTTCTATATTTTTTTGACTTTCATCAAAGAAAATGATTTAAGTACATATTAATATGTATAACAAAAATGTAATGTTAAGTATATCTTACTTTATAAAAATATATTATTCAACATTACCAAGTTTAATATAAAATAATTTGTATAACTCCCCAAAGGTTCGTTATATTTAATTACGAATTATATTAAAAGACTTTCTCAAAGCTGTTTGAAATTTTCATCTCTTAATTAAGATAAAGAAAATATAGAGCCTGTTGATATTAATTAAACATTGTTTGGGATAAAACCTAACAGAATTCATCATGTTAAAGGTGTTGACAAATATAATGTTTTTGCTGTGAAAATATAGGTATATGCAGGAGCATAATACCGAAAATGTTATGTAACTATTGTATGCATAATTTACCTATAAGTCCTATGGTGCCGCCGAGGCACAAAGCCAAGCACGTCAATCCAAGCACACATCGCGTCCGAAACGCCTTCAACATTTTTCCAAACTCACATCCTCCCAAAGCATTTTCCACCGAAACCACAAAACCTTAAACCATGTAAACCAACAACCGCATATTAATTACTAATATCAATATCCCATTATTATCATACGGGTCATTGACCCTGCATTTTAAAACCAATAATTGGATTAAAGGTTGAATGACAGCGTACTTGAATACGCGCGTAAAATGTACACGACGAAACGACACGCCCTCCCTCCACGAACGTTCACAGTGAACTAAATCTTACACAGTTTTGTAACCGTATATAACTGACAAAACGAACCGTAGTCGCGTAGCGCGTAGCGTTTTGGGAAAGTCCGACATACATTGATCGAATTCTCAAAAGAATTTATTGTTTTTATAAACATTAATCTGTTACTGTTTAACTAATTCGATAGTTTTGGGAATAGTTTATCCGGCATAATCTATTCTTGATGCGTCATTTCTTTGAACGATCTCGTTGGCTGTGAATTTTGCAGACTGAAAGTTTGGTACGACCTCCTTCGTAGTAATGCGCTTTTAAAATTAAGTTTTTAATTTTTGTATACATATGTATTTTGATGACCACGACCGTTCTGCCAAGAACGTATCGACTTAGAAGAAGAATACATATTTTACAACTTTGGCTCTTAATTTTTATTATAAATTGATCTAATATGTTTGTTTTGAAAATCCATTTTCCTTTTATAAAAAATAATAAAGATACAAAATATATACGCCATAACTTATTTACATATTAATTTAAACATTTTTCTAAAGCCATTTATTTTTCTATGTGTGTAAGTTACAATAAACTCTTTTACAATTACATTCAACGTATATATTACGTAAAGACTTTACATAGTCTTACGTACTTTACACACAATTTCGTTTCAAATATTGACACAATATGTGACGATTACGTAATTGTATTATAAGACGGATAAGTTCAACAGACGGACATGAAATCCTATCGATCCTGACTAATTCTTCTTATAAATTGTAAGTTAAATAATAAAAAAAGATATATAGTGCAATGAAAGACAATTTTTTTAAGTTTTTAAATTTTCTCCTTTTGCGAAGAAAAATAAAAAGTATTAATAATACTGTCCACTAGAAATTATTAATTTGTATTTTTCCTAATTTCTGTCTTCCACAGGATAAAACCAGTATTTTTTAAATTCCCAGAAATATTTGAAATAAATTTTAACACTGTATTTGTAATAACTGTAAAACAGTGTTCCTTATATATTTAAATAAACATAAAATCCCTGAACTAGGAATTTAGAAAACTGATTAAATAGTAACTGAGAGAGCTCAGCGTACCACGATTAGGAGTTAATTATGTTCCAAAAACATTCACCCATAAATACTCTGAAAACAAGATTGTTAGAATGGAAGATATAAAAAAGTTATTAAGTTTGCTACTTCTTACGATAAACTATTGATATAATTTATAAACCGCCAGAAAGCCTAAACAAGAGATTCTTGGAATGTTCTAGAATAAATTAATCTAATAATCGTTGCACCTTTCAGATTTTGACTAAACTTAACACGCTGCGGGATAAAAAATATTCAACTGTAATTATTAAACTTATTTCTCAATGAAACCTTGTTCAAATTAATTCACAAAATATTATTTGGTATTTTGATATACTTTTATTCGTTCTTAGATTATTGGAAGCTGCTATTTGATAAGTTATAAAGTGTTTCGCAAACACATTGATCTGTCTTCGTAGCTATGAAACAGTAAAAATTATTAATAATATTATAAAACATATAGAAAAAAATGGATAATCCGGATACTTTTTTTAAATAACTTCTTCAATGACTAAGATTTAGAGTCAATATTTATGGGACCAACTAATAATAACAAGATACTTATTGAGGGCAGCTTACTGTGGAAGTGTGACTAGACCTTTATATTAATCAACAGTCAATTTCAATTAGGTTTTAATTCACTTAACAACATCAAAATTGTCCTTTAAACGGAGCCTAAGACGTTTTATCTTTTAATTGAGGTAGATCTATTAATTTTATTGTATCAGATCGTAACAAAAACGCTGAAGCATTCGTCTACAAAAAGAGGACCAACAGAAAATCAACAAGGTAAATATATCTAGTTTAGTTCATACTATGAAGTATAAAAATTTTAAATTACTCCAATAACCGCCTGCTAGCTCCATATTTGTTATATATTAATCCACTGATCGCTACCAAAACCTACAATTCTCACAACACTACGTGCCTCTTATTCTAAAGGGACATGTTAATGTTATTCTGGCCATACATTTTAGTTGGGCGTGACATTGATTAGGGATACGTTTACCGATAAAAATAGCTGTCGTGATTTGCTTTCGTTATTAATACTATGGGATTGTCACCTTCAACAATACTGGTCAAATTTAAACATTTCTATGATACACACCACATTCTTGGAACCGAATGGTATATTATCAATACCTGGAACATATATTTTATTATTCTTAAAGTTTTTAGTCATTCGTCTTAGTCTTAAAATGTCTTCATAATTTCTATTTTAGTTTCTGTATTTATATTTTACACGGCATTGTGGAACTGACGGTATGCTGACTTGATCTTTGGCTTAATGACTTTTCAGCCGTCTCCATATCATCAAATGGTATTTTATATACATATAAAGTTAATATAATATGTGTAGTTACTGCTATATATAAAAAAAAATATTTCTTATTGGTCTGAATATCCTTATTCATAATAAAATTACACAAGACATAAGAAGAATAACTTCATTTATTAAAACGCCTGCAATATTTTCTTTATAATTTTACATATTGTTTGAGAAATTGTCAGTTTAATTTCCAATGTAGAAATCTCAGCGAAGTAAACTAAAATTCGTAGATTATTCTTATAAAGTCTGATATTTAAATGAAATCGAGTCTTTCATTAATCTTGATGAATTAGGCAGATGTTTATCAATTAAAGATCCTATTGCAGCAACCAATAATTCCCAAGAGAAGACTTCATCAAATCAAGTAACTATTTACTTATATGCGTTATTTGTATATTTATCGTTAACAAGTTAATAACTCAAATATACCGGCTCTAATTCACCGAACCAACATAAAGACCTTTAGTAATTTTAAAAACATAGTATCATATACAGGATAAAATATATTAAAGAGTTCTTCCTACGATGGTTATTAGGGTTACCACTTACAGATGTATGTTAACTGACTTCATCATCATCATCAATCACCACTTAACACCTGCTCATTTCCAACAATTACCGCTTCACCTCCCCTCAAAAGCAATAGTTAAATCTTATTCTAAGTTACTAAAGCAATTGTTAATTATCTCTGACAACGTATCGTATTGATTGACATTAGTATAATTTGGTTTACTTTACTATCGAAGTTTACTTCTTGAAAAAGATGTATTTACACAAAATTTTATAACAAAACGCTCTGAATAACACAATTTTTATCACTTTTATGCAGCAAAGAAAAAAATACAGCTCAGCAAAATGTTTTTTCAATCTCGGGAGATTATCCCCTAAGCCTTTTTAATAGAAGCGTCCTTTTTCAGCCATTTGATTGGATACAATGTATTGTTGCAAATTTAAACGAAGTCAGTCAGCTACGTTGATCGTTTTATAGAAAATAATAAATTCGTTATAATACCCAAATATATAAAAAAATATATGTCTTCTGTCATTATAGACGTGTTAGGAATCAATTTATATTAATATTTATCAACTAACAACATATAGTATTAGTAGTAACTTGTTATAATATTATTTAATAAACATGTTATATATGGAAATCTTTTAAAGGTATGTTTAAAACAAAACACTCTTTATTTGTATAGTAATAATTGTTTTAAGTTATGTTTCAATTAAGATAGGCATAATATGTACAAAGGAGTAAATTCAACGAAAATCAAAATGGAAGAGTTATTTCATATTGTTATTTTACCCCCAAATCGATGTATCCAATTGCTCACGCCTCAAATAAGTGTAACTAAATGTATGAAGATACACATCTGCCTCCATTATATTTCACGCCGCCTGTTGACAATTTAGGGATTGCAATTTGTGCTAAACGTGAAGTTGTAATTAATTAAGACAAGTTTCACTTCAATTTTGATTTAAGAAAAGAATTTTGTAAATCTTACAAAAGCGACTTCAGATGTAACCATTTTATTATTTAGGTTTCTTTATGGCTGCAATTATATTTTAAAACGAATTTTATGTAGAATGAAATATATATTTTTATCAACCCCCTTCAATTGAAATGATTTTTGAAAAGTAATAAAAAATGATTATATCAATAGCACAGCCACTGAAGTTTTAAAAATACAAAAAAATATTGCAAACCCACACACACAGATAGGTATATCAACGCGATACTACCCAGTTTGCTACTGTTATCCCATCTTATTCTAGAGACGCTTTACCCCTATGCGATGATTAAAATCTAGAGGCCGAACTTCAGAATGTAAATCATGCTCTTACCTTCAACCATCATAACAAGAACCATTTGAAGGCACTCATAATTGAGCGACAATTATCCACATTTGCATATTGTGAAGAGAATAACTGACGGAAATGGCTACACCTTGAAGATTCAAATCAAAATAATATACATAATCTTGAAAAAAGAGCCAATTAACTAATTATGACTGTCATTTCTACACAACGAGCGGGTGTAAACAAACTTGATTGTGACTGTGGCTTGACATACATTGCATAAACTAAGAGAAGCGTCATTACAGGTGACCAAGAACACATTCCAAATATTAAAAATAAGCTGACGTCGAATTCGGCAGTGTGTAAACATACAGTGGACAACTAACCCAACATCCTGGCAAGTGAAAAAAATTTACCAAGACTAATTCACGAGGCAACCGAAATTAAAAGACATCCTGTTTTCAATAGACAAGATTTAACGCCTAGGAACCTCTTATCAACATTATCCCATGGCAGTGACCATTCTGGCAGATTTTAAGACACATGCATGCATGCATCTAGAGCA